AAGCTCTGCTCACACCCGAGAAGGGAGAGGTGCAGAAAAATCACTAGATATGGCTCAGTCCAGCGAATCAGGACAGAAGGGGGAGCCCAGGAGACAAAATCGGAGAGCATCCCACGCTGCTGGGCTCCAGCCAAGCTCTGGATGTTGATGGCATTCAGAGAAACTTGTTTTTGTTTCTACAGCCACCTCTTGGTGTTTATTTACGGTTTATAGGAGATCACTCTCACCTCTGAGTCCGTGCCAGCATTCCCACTGCACTGAACTGCAAGCTGTTCCACTGGCAATGTCCAGAAATCACCACCGCACCATGCTCTGCTGTTGTCCTCTCTGTATTGAGGGGCCAAAACAGCCTCTTCTCCCATCTCCTCCCCCACGCTGATCCTTTCCCTCCAGACCTCTGACACCCGAATCACCCCCCCTGCCGTGCCCGTCATCCCCTGCCTGCTGTTCATGCTTTAAAACCCATGTCACTTCAGAAGCCACCTCTTTGGCAGCTTGCTTGACTGACGAGCGCTTGTCCTGCCCGGGGCAAGTCCACAGCCTCCTGGTAGACAGAAATATTGTGGTTTCGACCCTTTTTAACCAGACACCTGCAGGACTGATATTTTTAGCAGTAAAGGAGCCTGAGCTACCTTACTGCTGGGTGTATGAAGTGTCCCAGCTCCTGGTGGGCCCCAGGGACACTGGCCAACTCTCTGACCCGCTCCATCTTGTGAATGTTTTCCAATGTCCTGAGATATTTCCTAGCAAACAAATACTTTTCTAATTTGCTTAAACGACTGCTCCTGCCTCACACAGAGCTGGCAGCCGAGCGGCTGTGGGAAGGAGCCCGGCAGGGTTTCGGCTGTATGGAGAAGGGGCTGCCTTTCCCTGTGCTTCCCAAGACCTCTGGCAGGCGCAGAGACCGATGCCCACCACAGACCCAACCTGCTGAGACTTATTTACAGGTCAGGCTATGCTGTGAGCCTGTTTTCAGATAGTGCTGGTTTGTACTTCAGTATTTTTACATACCTTCTGTTTGTTATAGCTCTATTTTACCCCTCCAAAGCCAGACATCAATTACTGACTCGGGTGCATATTAAGACATAGCTCACAAATAGACTGTTCTGCCTGTACCTGCCTTAGTAATTTCTCTCTAATTTATTGCCGACAATCATTTGTTTTCCTCTCCAGCCACGAACAATATGCCTATTGTAAAATACCCGAGGGCTACAGAGCCTCTCTGGCGTGAATGGGACGGGAAAGCACAGAAATGTGGATTAAGACACACAGTCTATGCTGTAAATGGGGATCAGTACACCGGAGAATGGCTGGACAACTTGAAACATGGTAAGACAGATCATTTTGAGAAAAAGTACCAATTAGATGTCTTTACAAAAGTTCCTAGGGGAAGTGAGCCGTCTGCGGTTGTATATGCTCCTGGAAGACCATTCATTCATATATGACTCTCTCTATATATATATCTTTGATATATGACATGCAAAAATGTACTCAGAAATATTTCTAATAGGTAACTTGAAGAGCTTTTGCATGCACTCAGGGGCAATTACCCGAAATATCTAGATAATAGATGTTTAAAAATCCTCTGCAAACAGAGCAAACTGCAGTCAGCTCCACACGCCAGAATGTGCCCTGGCTGCACAGTCTCTGGAGCTCTCTCGGCTCCTGACTTGGCTTCAGGAATATTAATTTATCGTCGAGTCGTGGCAGGTGCTGCAGGAGATAGAGCAGGGGAAGGAGACCCTGACTGAGCCCTGAGCAGCCAGAGCAGGACAGGCTTGTTTACAAGCAGTAAACTGAGGTTTGGAAAGATTTAAGTGCATTCAGCAAAGGCCACACAGGAAGCTCCTGATCAAGATTAACGATGCATCCGACTCGGGAAGCTAAACTGAATCCCAGACATAAACCTGACTCAGTGCAGGCAGCGCCGCCTTGCCTGGGATGGAGCTGTAGGAAGACAGCCCTGTAATCCCTTCTCCTAACAACCGTGATGGTCTCCCTGTCATTCCTCTTGTTTGTTAAACAGGTAAAGGCATCCAGGTATGGAAACGCACCGGAGCTATTTATAGCGGTGACTGGAAGTTTGGGAAGCGGGATGGTTATGGCTCATACAGCATTCCTGACCCCGTAACCAAGGAATACAAGAAGGTGTATACAGGCTGGGGGAAAAACGACCGAAAATGCGTAAGTGAGATTTCCTGCGCCTGCCATTAACGAGACAGTGTTCACCAAAACATGGGGAAGAGTTGGGTGCACACATGCAAAAAGATCACTTAAAATACTGATTTTTCAAATACTGAGCTGCATTGAAGGGTTTTGGGGAAATGAATATGTGGAACAAGAAAATGAAAGCAGGAGCAAAAGCTCTGGTATTTAAGCCCTCTCTCCCTGCCCTCCCCAGCCTCACTGCTCCTGGCGTTACTCGCTTCTCCACATCACATCCACATCAGGAGCTGCACTGTGTTTCCACAGCCAGCAACAGGGAAGCAGCAGCATGACTCTGGGCAGAAGCTACAGGAACAAACCTTCCTGCAGGCTTGGGCTCTCTTTAAATATTAGTCTGAACCTGCAGAAAGCCCAGGAAGCTTCAAGAGTAAAATCCATCATTCATAAAAAGCCAAGCGTGGCCAAGAATGCCCTGTCGCCCGCCGTCTCCCCTCTGGAGACAGACCCATCCCACCCATCCCACCCATCCACTGGTCACCGGGCTACAGCCCTGACCTCCCACCAGCTGCCACAGAGCAGCGATCGCTGCTTGGACTCACCTGCAGCTCGGCCAAGCGGGATGAGAGGTTTTGTATCTCATGTCTTAATCCTCCCCGCTCATCCCTTTCATTCCTCTTGTCCTTGAAGCAGTCAGAGGAACCTGTATTATAAGCATTGCAGGAAAATGTACCTTCTTCTGGGAGTTTTACAGCATATTAGACAAATAACATGAGTTCTTTTGGAAATTAAGCCTGTCACATAAATCACTGGTTTTTCTAAAGGGAACATAATGAGGAAGTCATCTGGTAAAAATGACTGCAATCTCATGTGCAAAATCCTTGTAGGAACATTTTCTGATCTGCCAATGGAAGCCTTGTGTTCGCCTTTGTGTCTGCTCTTAAATTAAATTAATAGCCTCTTATGCTTCTAATTGGTGTGCAGCTCTATGGCTCCAGTCGCTTGGAGGGAGCTTCCCCTCCTGTTCTTTGAGGATATATTTTGCATGATTGAGCTTTGGTGAAAGATTTATAATGGCATCCAAATATCACTAGGGTTGTTTTTTTCTTCTACAAAAACCTCCCCTTTACATCCATGCAGTTTGATAAAATTAATGCTCAGAAAAATCAGTTATTTCCAGAACCGATTTTATTTTTTGTTCAGAGATAAATTAACGCTTTATTCCTATGGGAAAACTCATTGGTAGTATGTAAATATTTCTTACTGGTATCACTCCCTGGTATAGGGAGCACCTCTGGATTTCTCTTCATGGCAAACAAACATGTAAGACAAACACCTCCTGGGGTCCCCAGCTTGCACACACCCAGTGGTCTTAATTCAGAGCTTCACCAACCAAACCTGCCAGCAGCATCGAGCCTGAGGAGAGAAAGCAAAGAGCAGCGACTGCTCAACGTCAGAGCTCGCCTGCCCCGCCAGGGTGACGCCTGCCGCCCTGGGAGCCTGGCCCGGCGCCCAGCTGTGGGGAGGCACGTGTGGCATCGCTGCCTGTGCCTGCCCGTCTCACCGCAGGTAGCCTTCAGGGCTGCCTTTAGTTTCTTGTGAAGGAGGAAGGAAGCAAGGCAAGGGTCTGTTTAAGACATTACCTCTTTGGGGGTATGGATGGAGGAGAAAGCAAAACCATTGCCATGGTTAGCATCACTTAGAGACCTTTGGTCTGCCCAGGGGCAAGGGAAGGAGTTGCCCAGCCTGGGACACGCTGGGCTGTAGGAAGCCTCTTCAGGATTGAAAGGCATAAAATCCCCACATTGAGAGACAGGTCTTTTTTATGCTGCATATCCACAGGCAGGTTTATATACTAGTAAAACCCGCTTTTAGCTAAATATTAGCAGTGATCCTGCCAATGATAACACACTGAGATACAAACCTGAGATTTTGTTGTGGGAATAAAATCATTTGCCAGAAAAAAATATCCCATACCATCACCTCTCGTTTCCTTCAACACAAGAATGGCCGCTGAGCTGGGCTGCCAGCAGCCATGTCTAAGAGTACTAAGCAAAGGAGTGGTGTACCAAGAAAGTAATATCCCAAAATTGAACACTGACGCCTTTTGATACAGAAGCTCCTAACGGCCATCTCTGTGCTGCCTTCCAGGGCTACGGGGTGACGTTTTACCCCAGCGACGAGTGCTACGAGGGCGAGTGGAGCGGTGGGCTGCGGAGTGGCTGGGGACGGATGTACTACCGGGATGGATCCATCTACGAGGGGCAGTGGCTGGTGGATCGGCCCAGCGGGCAGGGGATGCTGCGGCTGCGTAAGTACCGGCCACCTGCCCCCTTCAAGAGATTTGGTGTCGTGCTGCTCTCCAGGTGCCTCTGCCATCCAGATTTCTGGATGCTACATCGCATCTCCTGCTGCAGCCTTGCGTCAGGGTTGCGGCTGCTCCCCTGTGTCGTCCCTCCCATCCTGGTTTGGGGCTGGAGGCAGCACAGGCTGAGCAAGGGCCGGCGTTGCGCTGCTCAAGCCCACACGCATGAAAGCTTATTTTTGCTGTGATTTACATTTAAATGACTGGGATGGTTAGGGTTAGAGATAATATACTGTTGGGTCAGAGAAGAGCAAATCTCTCTTTTCAAGCCAGGCACTTTGCCAAACATACTTTCTAACTGCTGCATACCAAAGAGGAGTCCAGTTTCCAGCACAGAAAAAAGAAAAAGAGAGAAGTTTTCTTTTTGAGTTCACTCCATCCCCTCTCTTCCGACACTGGCTCACATTGAGTGAACACAGGGGTTTCATTAGTACACAATCCCTTCCCAGAAATAACACCAAGCACATCACAGATTGGGAATGTTGGGGGCAATCTTAGCATAAAAATAGAAATTTGGAAAATTTTTTCCCCTTATTTTGCTTGGAGTTTAACACATTTTTCCCTGAAGTCAAGAATCCCAATCCTTTGCAATACAAGGCACTGTGTTCCAGGAACATTTGAAGAAATATTATCTCCATATTATTATTCATCTATTCTATTTTTTTTGCTTGAAAGTGATCTGAAGGCTAGTAATTAGCTAAGCAAAGCAGCTAGGAGGAACGAGCATGACCTTCGCTGCACATCACGTGCACAACTGCGCTCTCTCTGCTGACTGTAAAGTCACTTTGGACTGGTGGCTCATCCGGATGAAATCAGCACCCGCTTCCAGGGGTAACTCCTTCCACTGATCTGCTTCGCTCCCGTCAAAGTCACCCTCAGCATTATAAACTGACGGCCCCTCGGGGCTGAGCTGTGGCTGATGCACCATTTCAGAGCCTGGTTGCCTCCAGTGTAGCCTGCAACCGATTGTGAGCTGGATTCCTTTTGGTTAAAATTAGCCAGAGCAATTATTTCATACCCACAAGCTTAATGTATTCAGCTCAGCCGCTGGAAGCGTGCCCATGTGCCGGCAGCTTTGCGAGGGTGAAAGAAAAGGAGTTCTTCAGTGGAGGTCACGATGAGCTGCAGCTCAAGATTAAATTGCTTGTAGTGGCAGTGCGCCCAGCGAGGGCGAGCTTGGCTGGGAGCACCGCGATCATTTGCCGCCTCTGCTACAGCCCGTTGCCGAATGGCTTTTAAACCAGAGCATTGCACGTCTGCAGAGGAGATCTCGGCTGTGAGCAACGCAGCCTCCGAGATGCTCTGGGAGGATAGCGGATGGGAGCAGCTGGGTGCTGCGGTGCAGCCAGGGCATTCAATGGCCCCTCCATCACAGCTGGGTCTGTGATTTCAGTGATTTCTGAGTTGTCGGTGGCTGGAGAACAGAAGCTGAGCTGCACCCACCAGTGGGCAGGGCAGGTCGGTGCTGCAGATAAGCACACCACCAGATGCAAGCTGAAGATAACCACCACCACAGCTCCAACCTGTAAACCAGACCGTGCTTGAATAGCCCAGCAGCAACGCTCTCCAGAAGCATTTTTGGTTTTTCCCTCTTGCCTTACAATGTTCCGGCAATCACCAGCTACCTCTGCGGCACTGTGCTGGGTGCCCTGGTATTTCAGCCACCTCTTGCCACGAAGAATGGCAGAGTTCAGCTGAGACCCAAAGATATTCCTGCTAAGTAACTTGGTCAGAAATCCCTGTGGTTTTTGGCTTAGAAACACTGTATCTGGGAAAAGGGGACAGCAGAGGACTCCCCTAGCGAGAGCAGGGTGGCCAGGATGTATACCAGCCCCAGCATCACCGTGGATATGATGCCCCTTCTCAACCAGCGTCCCTGGACAAGGCTGCTCTCTTCCCGTGGCAGCTCTGCTTTCCCTGGTGGTGATGGATGGATGGATGGATTCCTGGAGAGCAGCACAGAGACAAAAAAACCTCTCTCAACTTGCAGAGAGTTGAGAAAATGCCAAGAGATGCAGTACAGCTGGAAAAACAGTCTGTAACCGATTGCCTGAACTGTTCAGACACTCACAGCAATTCTTGCTCTGTAATTCATTGAGGAAAAACATCAGTACAAGTATTATTTGAAATCAAGATTATTTTGACTGGACAACAATCAGACAGTGCTGCTGTTCCTTGCCCAGACAAGCAAACTTCTTCAAGCCAGAGATCCTGCATGATTCGTTGCAGTGACAAATCCAAAACTTCTGTCCTATAACTTTACATGTTGTGAAGAGTGACTCAGCGACTAGCCTGAACTCACTCGCTCCACATATCAGCAAAAAATGAATATCACTGGGAGAAGAACAAAGCAGGTGAATGCAATTCTTGTTCCAAGCAGGCAAACATGGGCTTCTTCCGCAGCCTTTTCTCCCTCTGCGGCACAGCAAACAGAGCACCACGAAAGCAGAACGACACACCATGCCTCAGCCCCCTTGAAATTACTAAGAGGATCCAGATGATTTCCTCTTCTGTCGTTTTGCTGCGTTGATTGGTTTCGTTTGTAGCCCCTTAATGAAATGGTGCAAATTTAATGGTCTGTTCATGTATTTAATTGCAGCTAATGAAAATCGGTACGAAGGAGGTTGGAAAGATGGAAGGAAGCATGGCCCAGGGAAGTTTTTCTACTTGGATAAGGGACAGTTGTTTGAAGGTATCTGGGCAGCAGATATACCAAAATGCGGAACTCTGATTGACTTTGGCAGAGACGAAGCTCCTGCCCCTACCCAGTATCCAATCCCAAAGGTAATTGCTTGGAAATTTCATTTTTGCTAGTGATGCTTGCATTCATCGGCGCTCGGGGCAGCTCTCCAGGTAGCATTTCACTCCTCAAGTGATTCCCCCCATGGAGCTTCCAAGCTCACGGGGCGTATGCTCAGAGTCTTTTGGCCAGCAGTGTCCTAAACGGCCCCACAGGGACAAACGGCCCATCCAGCCACCACTGGAGCCTCCTAATCACCTACATCTGAAAAAATGCAGTTATCGTGCACCAAAACTGCTTAGAGACCTGAAGCAGCACAAAGGAAACGGGGACAATAGAGGCAGAGACAATAGTGGGATTTGCGTCAAAACCACATGATTTCACCAAGCCAAGCTGCTAAAGCTGACTAGGCCTTACCGAAACCTGAGCAGCTGCAGCACTGATATCAGCTATTTCCTCTACCTGGGCACCCCGAGTCAGGGCCTCGTCCGTGTCCAGCAGCCCTGCAGGCAGAGGGGTGCGCGTAGCTTCCCCGAGGCGGGCAGATGGGTGTCTGAGAGCTGACGTGCTCTGCTTCCCTTTTCCCTTGACTGACACAGGCTGCGGAGGAAGAGCCAGTCCCTGTCCTTGTCCCTGTCCCTGTCCCCATCACCAAGACTCAGCGAGATGCACGATGGTGCATGTGGACACCCCAGGCCATCAGCCTGGCAGCTGCCGGGTCCTTGCATGTCACTTTGGTGGGGGAGCTGGAGGACGGGAGAGCTTGTCCCCCGCTCCGCGCCCTCGGAGAAGGACAGGGCACAGGGAGCAGTGGGGAACAAACGTGGCTCCAAGTGACACAGCCGGCCAAAAGAGCCTCAGCTTGAATTCCCGTGATCGGCATGCCACACATGAAATACAAAGGCATCGCATTTCTAAGGGAGGGTTACTGCCTGATATGGGCGGGGAAGCTCCCCTTTGCTTAAAGCCAAGCAGAACTGCACTGGGTAACCAGAGCACACAACTTTATTCCAGTAATGCAGGGAATAGCACGGCCCCCTGGCAGGTAAATCTACCTGCCTTGCTCCTCTGCTCCAGGGACAAGGTTGTTGCAAACGATATTGGGCACATGGAGCTACCAAAGCTCACAGCTGTTACATCTTTGCTTCCCTTGTTTTTTCAAATCTGGTTTCTATAGCAAGGGCCCTTTGAGCACAAGCGTTTTTGACAAGTCAGTTAATCCTGTAAGTACTAGGCACACCCACGGCAGTACTAGGCACACCCACGGCAGTGCAAAATAACAAACACCAAATACTCACCAGGGAAAAACAATCTCGATTTCGCAAAAAGAGTGAAAGGAGCAGTACTTCTGTAGCCAAAAATATTTACCTCACAAGGTTTGTCAAAGGTCACCTGAGAACAGCCTCCTCAACCACCCAGCCCAGCAGCCTGGGATGAACTGCCATTTCGGTAAGGCAGGATGTTTAAGCCTGGCTGTTTATTTAACTCCCTGAAGACCGAGTTATGACCCAATTTTATTCTGCTCTATGAGCAAAAAGCATCAACTTTCACTGCCGTTATTGTGGTTTCCATTGGAAGAGATTTATTGATCTCAGAATATGAAGGAAGGAACAGATAAAGGGAGAAAAATTGACTTCAGATTTTCATAAACCATTTGTCAAAGCACTGTCGCAAGCAGCTGTTAGAGAAAAGTAGATGACAGGTGAGTGTTAGAAACTGCCAAAACCAGAGATGGACTAAATAGTCAGCTTTTGCTTGGCAAGAGGCTGACAGTGAGGATCTGAGCTTCTGCACGGGAGAAGCATCCCTGTGTGTCTTCATTAGCAGGCAAAAGGAATAAGCGGTGGGGATGCACAGGACAGAAAACGGCTGAAAACTAGTGAGCGATTGTTACACGCTTTGAAGGAATCCAGTATGTAGATGATGGGGTTGCATCAAGGCAGAATTTGAACATAACTGCAGAGACGGGGAAAGACACAACATGGTGGACTTGGGGTATTTGCTGTTATAATCACTGAAGCCAAGGCTTCAGAAAGCGTAACAAAATAAATGAGAAAAAGACTGGACATCTTCTGCCTGGAAGAACACCAAACACATGAACGCCCCAGAAAGCATCGGGACATAAAGCAGGTCAGAGTGAGACGACAAATTCCTGGCAGGGCTCAGGCGCTTCCCTCTCAAGAATCTGCATCCAGTGGCACGCAGGTTACGTGACTCCAGACTCCTGCTTTCGTGTGACCTTTGATGCTCGCTTGGGTGACTCTGCAATTACTCACCTTTTAAAACTATAGGTGAGACCCAACAGGCTACACACCAAAGCCAGTGTTGTCTAAGACTGTGTTTTGTTAAAGGAGAATCAGCCCACTCCACGCACAGTGAAGGACGTGAAGCGATGTTCAACATGCTGATAAAATTAGGGAAGTGTAGCAGTACTTCTGACACAGTAATTGAGAGGCTGCAATATAAGCTAAAGTCCTGAGACGTGGGAGATTCTCCGTTAATGCTCAAGTAATCAAGATCTAGAAAACCTTAAGCTTCTTCAATTACACTGCGTAACTGATTTGTATTCTTTTTTATTTAGATTGAACTAGCTGATCCAGATGGTGTTTTAGCAGAGGCCCAGGCGATGTTTGATGACAGCCAAAATTAATAACCGGATGCTGAAGAAAAAAAAAAAAAAAAAAAAAAAAAGATGCAAGATAAGAACACGATCCTGGGTTACTTATTCATTTGAGTCTCAAATCCACACTGGTGTATCGTGTCATGGTCTGCCTCGCTTTTCCCCCAAGGCTGCTTCGCTGTGCAGGTGGCTTTGCTCAGAAGCCTCCTCCCACCCCCTGTTCTTTTGGAAAAGAAAGGAAAAGAAGAAGAAGAAGAAGAAGAAGAAGAAGAAGAAGAAGAAGAAGAAGAAGAAGAAGAAGAAGAAGAAGAAGAAGAAGAAAAAAAGAACCACAAGCAGCAAAACGCGGGAAGAGAGGCAGACTGACTCTTTGCCCAGCTCCTCTGACTTATTCCTCCTGTAGAGAAATAGCACTCCTGTTGGTTTCAAGGTCTTTCACATTGCCTTAGAGAAGCAGCAGGTTTACCATTATATGCTATAAAAGCAAAGCCCTAGAAAAGTACAGTCAAATCATTGTCCCCTCCCACTCCCCCCAAACTTAGCCCAATCCATACCTGTGACCCAAGATGGCTTTTGAAGTTACAACAGATCATGTTTCAATTAACGTTTTTATTAATGCAACTCTACTTGCTCTCTCTCTGCATGTTCCGTAACGTGACGCTGGTTCTGCTCCCTCACCCCCGGAAATGCAGAGCACCAGATCTCACCCCAGCTCTGCTCCGTGGCCAGCGCACACGCCGGACCGCTGGCACTCAACGGCACTGCACCGGCTGCTGTGTCTCCACCCGATGCAAGGACCACACAGCAGCAACGCAAAGCTGCGGTGCTTCTGATCCGCGAGGCGCTGCTGAGCGTCACCCACAAGACCGAAGGAAGGCAGCACTGCAGCTGGTTGGTGAAAAGCAAACTGTGGGAGAGTGGGTCATCAGTTCACCCCATTAATACCGTGCTTCCTCCCTCGACTCTTCCTGTTTTTTAGGCTGAAGGATAACCTACTTTTCTATTTAAGCACTCAGAGAGAATAACAGCAATACAACATGCTCAGTCCCAAGATTTAAGCAGTGCTGACAGGAGGAAAAGCATGTCAACTACATTATCTTTAAGCATAGCCTTCACGTAGCCTGCGTGAACAGGAAATCTTATCTTCGTATTATGACTGAAATGAGTAACGGAATACATTTAAGAGATCCTCAGAAATACGCAGTTAGGATTAGCGCAATATAGCTGAAGAGATAAGGGATATAGAGAAAAGAAGCACATTTTAGGCCTCTAGATAACAAATAATCAGCAACAATTGAGTATATTTTATTTCATTAAAGGATTTTATATCTAAACAAGTGATATACAATAACCAATGCTTAAAATGCTTGAGGTAAATGCGTAATACCGTTAGTATAAATAAGGGGTAAAAAACAAATTCTAAGTGCACTCTTAATGTTTAGATCCATGTGTTTGGGTCTGGTTACTGCCTCTGGCACACAGTTACGAGACTGTACCCAAGGTGTAACTTTCATGACCATTTCCACAGCTGAAAAATGAGAGAAACATACTCAATATCATGGCTTAAAGTGCAGAAAATAGTCAGAAAAGCAGCTGTAATAACAGTGCCATTAGCTCAGAACCTACCAGCTTGAGAAAGTTAAAAATAAGATTGTCCCACTACCTTCTAATTCTGTATTTCTTAAACAAAAAAAAAAAAAAAAATCCACACTTCTCTGTCACTTTGTAAAAGATCCACAAAATAAAGAGAAATTCAGCTACTTATCCAGGACAGCAAGTAATTTTACAAAATAAACTTGGAAAATATATTTTCTGGACTTCCATTTAAAATAATGTTTTAACTTTTAAATACGCAGTTTAGCGACAGAAGTGTAATTTTTAAGCCTGACAGCACCCTTTCAACCATTCGCTCTAGTGTGAATATTGAGTCAGGTTTTCTTCCTTTACTAAGGGTTTTTAAGAGTCTTTTTTTTCCCCCCAAGACAGGACTCGTATTCCAATAAAGGATGGGAAAATACATTTTGTGCCTACTACCAAGATTTCATGTTTCAGAATGCTGCTTCATGAATGCCTTTACTAACAGAATCCTTCCAGTGCTCCATGAACGAAGGCCTGTGGGACGGTAGTCACAATTCGCACCATCGGCAGATTTACATCAGTAATAGAATATACTTGAAGCATAATGTAATGGCAGAGCTAGAGAAAATCCAGTTTGGCATCTGTATGCCAGAAGGACTTGTGAAAATGGCAAGCGGAAAGCTGTTTTCTGCTTGTAAACCAAGAATGCTGCTGAAAAAAAAAGCCCAGCAGGTTTTTTTATGGTTATTTTTCACAATACAAACACACCACAGGTAACCTTGTCAACACTTTCCACTGCGGTGGTGCTGACGTGCGAAATCAGTCCCATCCGCTTCCTGAGGCTGCTTCAGCAGTAACCGTGCTCTGCCACCCTAACTCTGCAGACACGTCCCACAGTTTGTAAATGCGTCGGGACAACCTGAGATGGAGGCTGGGCGTAAGAGGCCACGTTCAGGCTCAGTCAGGTGCAGCTCCACTGTACTGTCACGTTTGCTCCTGTCTAATTTCAAAATCCCAGGTTTCTATTCCACAGTGTTAGCTACGGTAGGGAGGTCAAGTTTTGTTCCATTAGACTTGAAACCTGTCTCGGTTTGTGTTCAAAGAACAGCTTTTACCCATTAAAGCCCAAAGCTGCTCACAGAAGAACTGCATTCCAAAAAATTCCGCTTCTAGACATAGCTAGAATTACTGAAGCAGCCCAGGACAACTGCTGCAATCTTTCTGGGACAAACCTCTTATCTAAGAGACCAAACGGAAGTTTTTGCTTTAAGAGGAAATAAAAAAATGACACAGTAGCCTCACTGTGACAGAGGTGTGTGTCTGAAAGTAAGCAGCAATACTAATTACAAATAATCTACTTTCATAAATAAATCTACATAGAGAAGAGTACTCTTCCAGATCCTTTGGAAGCAAAAAATGTATAACAAATTATTAAATACAACACTTCAGCAAGGAGAAGACTTTTTCTAAACAAGGAAGACCAAGGCATAGCTAATTACTTGGGAATCCAACGCAGAGAAAGCACCTTTTGCTGCTTATATCTGAGGATTTATTAAAAATATATTTTTAATATAAAAGTACAAAATAATTACTACTTTGGCGTGGAAAAAAACACAGCAGTGGTTCTGATTTTCAAGCAAAAAAAAATTATCCAGTGATCATTTCCATCTAGTTCCTTCTTTTTACAAAAAGATTCCTAAATGGGAAACAGGCAAATCTATCTCTCCAGATAATATCTGCCGGCTCGTGAGAACTTTAAAACAGTTATTGCTTTTATTTTCTTCCAAAGAAGAGTAGAGTAGAGTCTCATTCCTACTCATGTGGCCATACCACATCGCAGTAAGACTAGGCATGGGTGTTTAGCGAGTTATAAAATGTGTAACTGCCATGGGAAAAAGGCGCTGGAGAAATCAGTAAAGTAATAATTACTTGGCAGCAAAACATACTGGGGAAAGTGGTGGGAAAGCTTTCGCTTCTGCCATCTGTCAGGCTTTCTAGAGAGAACAGCGCTAGCACTGAAACCAAGTGCTAATTGCTGCATATCCCAAGTAATTTGTATCATGCCATGCAATATGGATCGGACAAGCAGTATCTTCTAGTAAATGCCAACATCAAATAAAAGGAGAAAAAAAAGCTTCTCTATCCATCCCTAACAAATACCCAAATTTACAATGTTATTTTCCATCTATTTATACAGCCACAGTTCAGCGTTAACAAGAAGCAATCCAGACAGCGCGCACAAGAGGAGGGATGCACGTGCAGTGCAAGCATACCCCACCATCCGCTCTTTCAGACGTCAGATAGACAAAATTCTATTAAAGGAACGACATTTTTTTTCTTTCTAAAGGGTTAGAACAACATTTATAATCTCTCTTTAAATGGTAATCAACAGTTTGACCAGTTCATCCACAGGGGAGTCAACATAAGGCAGAAGCAGAATAGTGGGTTTATTTTCTTTAAGTACAGGTTTACGCAAAATGGGTAACAGCTGAGGAGATAGTATCACCTCTGTGATCCAGCTGATCCTGGAGCCGTGCAAATTCAGCAAGTTCATTCAGTTCTTGAAATTGCCTGTCTGTTTTATGGCTCACCAGTGACCTGTAGAAGTGGACTGCAAACACAATGAAAATCAGTCCAAAGGGAACCATAATAGACGTTGATGCAATGGCTGCTGCCTGTCCAGATGTGATGGTAGAACTGTTGGTCTGGAGTGGATTATCAGGTTTCTTCTTTAAAGGAAGAAACTTCACCCAACACAGTAGCACCACCTCTGCAAGAAAGAGCAAAGTCCCAATGACAGTAGAAAACGCCCACGCAAGCTCAATGTGCCGATGCATACGCTCATGAGGAGATTCCTTTACAGAGTTGAGATTATGCACATTGCTAACAGCCTCTATGTTTGGAAGAATGCAGGTACTTATCATGAGTGCAAACAGGTGAACTGCAACGAGGACAGTAGTGCAGGCACTGAAGGCTATCAAGAGACCTTGAGGGTAGTCGTTTTCCGAGTCTAGCTGAACTTCTACCATAGCCACCTGAAAAGGAAAGAGAGAGATGCAATTACCTACGTTACATATTATTTGACCATAGATTATTTTAAGTTTAAATCACGTTTCTGGAAGATCATCTGATCCAAACAAAATAATAGCCTGCATTTACATTTCTCTTCATGTCAATCTGCAGCCTTTTCATCAGGTCCAAATTTAGGTCTGAGCTATCAAGCCAAGGCCACCGTTTTCATACTTACCGTTCTGTTGCAGCACAAACCATCAGTATGTACAAAAGCTGTTAACAGCACAACCACCTTGCCACCTCCAGCTCATCCCAGAAAAACAGCTGAACTTTGTGATCAACATACTTGGACTCTGAGAGTGAAACATTTCTTCTTTCCTGTGTTACATTGTAGAGGCAGCTTTTGATCTTTCACCATAGATTCTAAATTTTGCTGGGTA